GCATGTTAACCCACAAGGCCACTCCAAACTTCCCTCGATCCTCGGCAGCGGCAGTGATGACAGCATAATCCCCTGCTGGTGTCCAACCATTCCTGCATAGCCGTGTCTCAAGAGTGCCGACAAGATGCAACTGGCGAGACGAGAACTGCTGTGCAAGAGCGAGCGAGCATTCTGCCAGGCATGTTGAGGCCGGCCGCGTCTTGGTTGCGGCATCTGATCCTGCTGTCGCCTTTTCCCTTTGCTGCCTTCCTGCGGGGCCGTAACGTAAGCAATAGCCACGGCGAATCGTACCTGAGGCAGGGACAGCACGCCTGAGGGACGGGAATCACGAGGCACACTCGTGTCATTCGGGCTGCGACCAGCAGGCGGCGAGAAAGCAGTCTGAAGGTCCAGACGGGGAGGGGCGAGACGCGGCATTTCACATGCACCAACATTCGGGTATACCCCTGAGCCGACGTTGGCGCTGGCAGTAATCCATAACCAAGGTACATGGGCGGCGGCAGCAAGCAATACTGACCACGGTTGAAAGTCTGCGTCTACAGTCGGCAATAGGCCCATAGAGGCAATCCGTGCAATGGTATCTGCAAGTTCATTTAACGGGTGGGCGTTGTGTCCCAGGATGTGCTTCCAAGTGAGCGTCGTATACTGCCGTAGCAACTTCAAGGCACCGTCGAAAAGCCACGTAAAGTCCCCACATGACGCATACTGGGTCCCACCTGCCGCCGTCGACACCACAAGCTGGTTGTCTGTGTACACCACAATGGGATACTGGCAAAATCTATCGTCGGCTTGCAATAACCATAGCACCAGCCACAGGCCTGCTTGAAACTCGGCGGCACCCGAGGGACTGGCAACGGAGTTGGATAGATCAGGATCAATCCCACACAGGTAACCTTCACAAACATACCGTCCCGAGGTAGTAACTGTAAATACACACCATGCCCAAGACGGTGGCCCTCCCAAGGATTGTTGGCGAGACCCTCCAGACCCATCGGTATGGATTTCCACCCAAGCTACCTGCTCATCCTCTGAGGGGGGGGAGGCTCCGTGGGTATCAAAAAACGAAATCGTACTACTGTGAAGGTATGGGTGAAATAGACAGTGATCAGCCGTCTGGCACTGCCCGAGAAAGGCGGGGGAGAGAGAAGCACTAGATTGCCAAGGCTGACGTAGTTGCCTGACAAGCTCACTGCAGTCGGGAATCGGGCAGCGGGGCTGCCCAGGCTCGGACTCCATCCGAGCGCGGGGACGAGGCGACGTGGCTGGCCGTTGGCCAGCAGCGGGCAGGCTGTGAGATGGCAGCACTGGCGGCTCAGGCATCTCACTCCCCGAAGCCTGCCCGTCATGTCGCATCACCCCAGCTCCGACAGGTCCGATGAGTCTGATCCCTTGGCCCCGCCAGCACGCGTGTGCCGTGGGCTGTGGCTGCGACTGTGACGCTGCCGACGTTCTGCGGCGGCGGCGGCATCAGGAGCTCCAGCTTCGTGGGCGAGCTCGGCACGACCTGCTGGAGCCGGAGGGGTCGCACCTCGTCCACGATGGCTCTCGACGCCCTGCTGCCTCGCGATGGCCTCGCGAAGCCCCTGTTGACCAGTCGGTCGGCGTGCACGCTCGGCATCACGACGGGCCCTCCGCGCCTCGGCGTCACGAGTCTTCTTCGCATCCACCTTCTTCCATCCTTCTTCTTCTTCGTCGGCATCAGCTGCATCTGTCGCCGCCTCCACGACCTCTGCCCCGCGTGCACGCGGGCGCGCGCCTGCGGCCTGGCGCCCGCGCTGCGCGGGATGCATCCCGTCGGCGGCGGCGGCTGGCGGGCCCTGCCCAGGGCCAGCGGCGGCGGCTGCGCCAGAGGGGGCGGCTGCGGTGGCCGCCGCAGGGGCGGCAGCAGGGGCTGCTGCGGGTGCCGCGGGCGGCAGCGCCGCCGTAGGCGCAGCCGCAGGCGCTGCAGGCTCTCCAGCGGGTGCCGCATCAGGCCCAAGGCGCCGCGGTGGCCCAGCGAACGGGCGAACCTCTGGAGGGGCCGCAGGCGATGCCGCATTGCCCTGGGCCCGCATCGCCGCCAACTCCGTCTGGACCGTCGCGAGCAAGCCCGTGAGCCCCACGAGCGCCTGTCCCAGCTCCAGTTGCCCAGCCTGCAGCGCCGCGAGCGCGGCGATCGGCGGGGCCGTGTCGGGCGGGGTGCCTGGCATCGCTGGCGGCGTGCCGGGCACCCCGCCCATGGGTACGTCTCCGTCGGCTGCCTCTTGAGCAGCAGCAGGAGGCGGGCGCATGGCCTCCAGCTGTTCCAGCAGCGTCCTGGCCCTCTCCACGGCGGCCGACCTCTGCTGGACCTTGGCGTCCGCGTCCTCCAGGGCGGCACGAGCTGCAGCGGCGGCATCCTGAGCTTTCTCCAGCTTCTGCTGCGCTCTCTGGACATATGACCGTTGCTTGTCATATCTCACGCCAGAGGGACGAGCGATAATTATCATACAGAGCTGCACGGCATACTCCTCTTCCTGACGGCGCATCTGCTCGGCCGACATGCTTAAATCCTTCGCAGCCTGGAGGCGTTTGCCTGTGGCGGCGGCCATCTGGCGCAGCGAGCGGCGGTGAGCACCAAGCTCACGCTCCTCACTCGGCGGCTCGACCCAGGCGGGGTGAGCCTTGGCGGCCTCTGGCAGCGCGGGCCAAATGCCCAATGCCGGGCTGCGCAGCTCGTCGTCGCCGCCGTCCGAGGAGTGGCCGCCCTCGTTGGCCGCGCCGTCGTCGTCCTCGTCCTGCGCGAAGCGCACGCGGGAGCCCGACCTGGTCTGGCTGGATCGCCTGCGTCGGCGCGAGCCAGAGGCGCGGCGGTGGCGGTCGCGCGGCTGGCTGCGTCGATCGCCGGCCTCGCTGCCGCGGTCCGCCGCGCCGTGCTGCGGCCCGCAGGCTGGCAAGGGCATGCACGTGCGGCAGAGCAGGTCCGACGGGCCATTGAGGCCTCCGCAGGTCGGGCACCACCATCCTGGCGGCGGCGGCGGCACAGCCCATGGTGGGGTGCTGCCGCTCTGCCCGCTGTGGCCGCTGCCCTTGCCACCGCCCTTGCGGCCCTGGCCGCTGCCCTTGCTGCCATAACCTCCAGCACGGCCAGACATGATCCCGCTGCTGTGGTGCACGCGCAGCCTCGCCGCTGCGGCGGCGACGCGCAGCAGGTGCGCGACTGCGTGCGCCGCTCGCGAGCGCGCCTGTGCCAGGCGGGCTCGCGCACGCGCAGCCGGCGCCGCGCCCTGCGCACTGCGGGCGCCCGCGCCGTCGTGCGCCCGCCCACGCTGGGGGCGGCGCACGCCACAGCACAGCAGCACGGCCGGCCCGCACGCCACCAGCGAGGGCGGCGCGGGCGAGCGCGTATGGCCGCCGAGTCCCGCGAGGCTTCGCAGGTATCCTGGATACCTGCACCCAAAAGCCTCGGGCCGGGACGGCGGCTGGAAGGGAGAGAGGGAGGGAGGGGAGCGATAGGTTGATCAGGAAAGAAGGGGGCGGAGGCCAGGAAAGGGATATCGAATGGGAGAGCAATTGTTGAGATGATGACTCCGCAGCACCATTCGGTCTCTCCCGATGCGAGGTCCCCGGGGGGCGGAGGAGAGAGCGCCCGCTCTCGGCGACGTCGGTGGCTCCCGCACACAGTGACAGCCCTGGCTTTGTGGGCCGCGTCTGTGGCCCGAGATCTTGGTGCCCCGAAGGTGCCCCCCCCCCCCGTGCGCATCGACGCGGGCTGCCTGCGGGCGCCCTTTTTTGGGAGACCGCGTGCTTCCCGTGGGCCTCCTGCGGTGGGGAGCTCCGGGGGGTAGCGTGTCGCTCCGCCGGTTCTGGCCCGCCACGCCTCGGCGCGGCACGCTGTTCGCGTCGCGCTCCCCCCCTTTGCGTCCACGTCCCGCGCCTCTCCGAGCCTCCCGCCCCGCGGAGCGGAGCGGCACGCTCTCCGCTCGCAGGGCACGGCGTGCCGCTGAGGGGGCGCCGCGGCGACACGCTGAGCAACAGATCTCGCGCGCACAGTACTTGGTGGCGCCCCCTCTCCGACGTCGGTCCTCGTGGAATTTCTGAGTCGCACCTGTCGAGACCGCGTCTCGTTCTGCTTCGATATCGAAGGGGGTGACACTGAATGGGTGCAAGGGGGCGACATTGAAGTGGTCGAGGGCTGCAGGAGGCTCAGAGATCCACGAAGGATGGTCCCCCAGATCTCCCACATCGCCACCTCTTATCGTATACGCACCCGCTGCGCTCGGGCGCGTGCAACGTACAGTCGGACCGAGGTATAAGATCCAGGTCGGTTCGGGGAGGGTACCCTAAGATTCTTCGTGTTTGTTGGATGTTCTTGTGCACCCTGAGGAGGGTACCCTTGGATGTTCTGTGTGCTTTGGCCGACTGAGGGATGTTCTTCTGGCCTAGGTCTGACCGTACAGCCAACCACCGCGAGAGCCCGGGCCTCGGCCGAGGCTGACGCGACGGGCGCATCGTGGCCCGCGGGCCCGCGCGACCTCGGCTTCTCTCTGCCTCGGCGGCTGCCGCCTCCCAGCGCTGCCCCCGGGGGGGAGAGAGTCGGGGCGCCAGAGACCTTGGCATCGCTCGGACGTGTGCCTTTTTCCTCTGGCAGGACCATCGGGGAGCATCCTGGGCCATCTTGCGGCAAATACGCGCACCGAACTGAAAAAGTGCACGCGGGAAATGGACGTCCCAGCGATGGCCAGAGATGGGGGCGCAGCAAACGAGGGCACGGGCAGCGCCGATTCCCACGTTTGGCCATGTCCCCGTTCGGGAGCCGTGGGCGCCGTAGACGGGGGCATGGTGAACGGGGGTATATGGAGAAACCCAAGCCACCGTTTGGCTGAACCCCTGCTCACGAAGCCCCGAGAGAGGAAGACCGTATGCGCAGTGTGCACGTGCAGAGGAAGGACGGGGAGGGTGAGCATGGACGGGGATCATCAGGCTGCTCCGGAGAGCGGGGACCTGGAGAGGTCGAGCGCAACGCAGCGAGCAGCAGGCAGCACCGACATGGCTCGAGAGCACGGCCGCCCGAGGCCGCCGCCAGCGGCCCTGCGCTCCTCCCGGCAGAGGGGCCCGGGCGTGGCAGTCTCGTGGGCGCCGGGCGCCGCCTCGCGCAGAGGGGCTCGGGCCCACGGGCCCTCGCTGATGGGCCAGGCCCGAGTGGTGCCACGGGAGGGCGTGGCAGGAAGGGCCCTGCTCTCGAGGATCGAAGGAGTTGCCGTCACTTCCTCGGCGGAAGGGCGGCGGAGGGCCAGCGGAAGCCGACGGAAGCAAAGGATGCGCCCCCAGGAGATGGACACGTTGTTGGGTTCAGGGTGTCAGGAATCGGCGACTACAAACGGTATGGTGACGCCAGGGTGTGGGTTGCGATCCGCACCGTTGGGGCTTGGAGGGCATTGTCTTCGTCGAGCCTCCTCGGGGCGCGGCGGAGAACTCGATCGAGGTCCCCGCCCGCCCCCCAGGGTGCCCCCCCAGGGTGCTGGTTGCAAACCACACCCTTTGCAAACCACACCCTTCGGAGTCGCCGAGAGGTGCCACATATAATACTGGGATGAGATGGGGCCCAGGGCTCCTGCCGCGATGTCTGACGGTGCTTCAGTTGTTTGTTCTGCGACTTCGGATCGTTGTCATCCTCCAGCATGGTGTATGCAATCCGCGGCCTCAGAGGTCGCCTCCTCATCTAGGGTAAATTAGTTTTACGCCCCCGAGACATGTGTGATGGCCCGAGTGCGCGACAACAACGCCTGAAGGCCGAAATCTAAGAGAAACCTCCTGTTGACAAAATCATACGGTGGGTGCGTTGGCTAAGGAATGCGACCAGGAGGCTTCAGACCCTGAAGGGTTCCTTACCTGATGAGGGCGGCGGTGATATCCATGGCCGATCCACGTTTGGAGTTCACTGGCTTCCAGACCCTGGCTGGCTTCCTTATCCGATGGTGCCTTATCCACTGCCCTCATCGTAGTGAGAATTTTCAAAAGTCAGGTCATCTTCGTGGCTGAAACCGGTAACGTCAGGATACGCACCCCAAAAACGCATTAGCCGCCTCGGCACTTCCACGTGCTGTTGCGAGAGAGAGACGAGGCGACGCAGCACGCGCGCGCGCACGCACGCGCGAGCTTCTCAAGTCAAGCAGGCTGCGGGCGCAACGCGGAACACGACGCGTACCCCCACAGACTTCGGCACGACGGAAGGGCCCCGATACTCGGCATGGTCGCTAAATCATTGGCAGCAAGAGTCGGCGGCCACCCCTGGGGGGAAGTGAAGGGGGGGGCCTTTCTCAGAAGGTGCGGAAGCCCTCCGGCCTTCCCAAAGAACGGTTTCTGAGCCTTCACCGGAGGCACAGAGCACTTCTCAGAAGGCCAGAGGGCTTCTGAGAAGCCCCGCCGCCTCCCGAGAAGGCCTCCTCCTTCTCATCTCCCCCCCTGGCTTGATTGGCCTGCCAGCATGTGCCCCACGGAAATTTCTGACCCTTGGGGTTCGCGCGCGGGGGGGCCCTCGGCGATGGCCCCCGCGCGGCGGCGGCCGCTTGGCGCCCTGGTGCGGCGGGGGCTCGCCTGGGCCGCCGCCGTGGCCTGCGGGGTGGGCGGCCTGCGGGGTGGGCGGCGACGACGATGACAACGACGACGACGACGGCGGCGACGACGACGACGACGAAGACGACGACGGCGACGACAACGACGACGACGACGACGACGGCAACGACGACGACAGCGGCGCGACGGCGGCGGCTGTGGCGACAGGGGCGGCGAGGAGCTGCCTCCTGGGCCGCCCAGACGGAGCCAGGAGCAGAGGGGATCAGAGAGTCGTGCCGCGTCGCCTGTGTGCTGGCGATGCGGCGTCATCGGGAGTACGATGTCCTCGTCGGCTTTCCAGCCTCGGAGTGCTTTCCAGCGGCTGCGGCTCGCCGAGAGAGTTCCGGGTGTGCCTGGGTCTTCCCGAACGGCCGCCCGAGAGCCGAGCCATGGCCTGAAAGCCAGAGTCGAGGATCATTGTCGGATGCGAAAACAAGGGTGCAACGTTAGCGGCGCTTGTTCTCCAGCCCGACATCGCCGCTGCGTCGGCGACGCGTGCGATCCTCCAGCCTCTCTGCGCTGGCTTCTCATGGCCCAAAGATGTATTCCCCAATCAGCGTTTGCACTGAGGGTGTCCCAGTGGATCTGGACGGATTGGGCGAAGGTGCTGCGCCGCTTGCTGTAGGCCGCCACCAGGTGTTCCGTTCCTGGTCTGGACATCGTAGCGTTGTAGGGTTCCCAGGTCTTCGAGTTTGTAGTTGCGGCCAAGTCTGAATGATCTAGTATATGGCAAGGTCAATCACACCTCGTTAGCTTATCGATGAAATATTGGTTGTGAAGTCGCGATGTTGCGCAAGTGGAGTGCATACGTATAGCTATATGGTTTACATAGTTTTAGTGTAGATGTACCTGAGTCACTATATCTGTGTACAGCTGAATGTATAATTCATGTGTACAGATTGAGGGGAGAGAGAGAGAGAGAGAAAGTGTTAACCACATATATATATAAGAGAGAGAGAGAGAGAGAGAGAGCGACGGAGAGACAGACACCGCCGAGGGACTGACATATCTGTATGTTTGTACATACGTACCCACCTGTTCAAGTACATATACACATGCGTATACTTATACATCTACAAATGCATAAGCCGGTACATATACACATGCATCTACACATACATGTACGTACATGTTTGTGCGCATACCGGCGAAGAGATAGGGGATATTTCATACAGCAGAGAGTGAGAAGAGCGAGTAGTTCCCCGATCGGCGCTTGCATTGAAACCAGACGTTATTTTTCACCACATCTAGTGCGCCACGCATATGGCTCCACATATGTTGTGCCACATTGTTTGTACTTTAAGACTTAGATTGCACTACCTTTATTATACCACGTACTTTGCACCACAGAGATTGTACCACATAGATTGCGCCGCGTGGATTGCACCACATAGGTTGAGCATCATAGATGGTGCCACGTATAATGCACAACGTCTTGTGTATCAGCTAGAGGGCACCCGGTAGTTTGCACCACATCTATTGCATCCCACATGTTGTTCCACTTAAATCCTCTTTTCTCCAATAAGAATAGGATCCACCACCCTCCCGAGGCCGGACTTATGGACCCCCCTGGGGATTTGCAATTTACATGCGATTCTGCACCATCGTCCATCCTAAATGTGATCTCGCACCATCCCAGCCGAGCCGGTATCCGCCCCCCACGTCATCATGTTCAAAAATATTATGAGCGCGCAGTTGTTCATCACAAATCATCAGTTTTCAAGAATCCCCTGCAAAATTTAGAACGAGGTGCGCACGGGCGCGTTGTCATGCGCGCGTGCCGAAATCCTTCAGAAACCTCCCGTTTCGCAAGGATTTCAAAGTCGAGTTTCCAAAAAACACATGAAAACACAAGGGCTCGCAACACGGATTTTCAACAAAAAACTTGCGCGCGCGCGTTTTTGCGAATTCTTGAGAAACTGATAGTGTTTTTAATATGAAAATAACATGTTTATAATGCTAAACCAGCCGGGCTACGCGCTCGCGCATGTCAAAATCGTTCGAACGCCCTTGCGCGCATGCTGTCGCGAGAACCCTTTGCAAACAATGCGACGAACTGCGCGCGCACGCGTCGTCGCGCGCGCATGCCGAAATCTTTTAAACATCTTCGGTTTCCTGTACATGTCAAAACGGAGGGTCCAGAAGCCATTACAAAAACACATGATTTCGCAACGTCAGTCTTCAAAAGAACCTGCGCTCGCGCTCTTGCGAATTCTTAAGACATCCAAAGGTTTTGAACATTGTCACGCAGTTCTGCCGAAAGGGCCTCTCGCGCCGCATGCCGAAATCATTCGAACGCCCCTGCGTGCGTGCTGGGGGAGGGGCACGATCGGTGTCAAATGATACCATACGGGCCACTCTCGCGCGTCGGCCGCGCGCGCATGTCGAATTCCTTCCAAGACCTTCATCAACGACGCGAGGACGCCGTCATCGTCGTCGGCGTGATCAGCATCGGCGCCGTCACTGGCCGTGTCGTCTTCGTTGTCTCGCTACTATCATCATCGTGTCTACCGTCAGTCGACGCTGCATCGATACCGCGATCGCATCGGTCGCGCCAAACCAGCTGGCCGTTGCGCGCGCGAGCATGCGCGGGTCAGCGCGGCCGTTGAGATGCACACCAGCCAACACCAAGCACCCATCGCAATCGCCACTGCGTGGGTTTTGCAAGCCAGGTTGCGGTGGGTGGGTGGGATGATAGCGCGAGTAGTGGGGTTGACTACTGCAAGTTCGGCAGGGCGAATTGCACCACACCGATTGTACCACATAGGTTGCATTATTTCTCTTGTGCCACGTGTATTGCGCCACAAAGAGTGTACCACATAGAGTGCTCCGTATATGTTGCACCGCATAGGTTGAACACAATAGATGGTATGGTATCACATAAATCGCACAGCTTATTGTGCAAAGCCATACCGCGCTCGCACGATCGCGCCATCTATATTCAACCACCTCGAGTGCACAGCTTAATTTGGGTAGTATATTTGCACGACGTCCGTGGCACAACGTAAACCACAACACATAGATCGTACCACGTACGTGCTTCCACATAAGTTGCATCATTTCGAGCTAACCGCAAATTTTTCTAGAGACGCACCCTTTGGGGTTCACGTTGGCTAACGTGTATATTATATATATATATATCTGCATTTATAGAAGACGCCTACGGCGAGTCACCGATGCCCCCTTCCTCTCGGGCACGCCCATGCGACTAAACGTTGGGCCGAAGGCTGGCCAAGCTATTGGATGATTTGTTCCCCCAGCTGTTGTGGAGCCCCTCGGGGGAAAACTGGGGAGAGGAAGAGACAGGAGGAGGAGAGGGAGGAGAATGAGGATAGGGAAGAAGCGGGGGCTCTCTTGAGGCCTCTGGTGGCCTCCCAGGAGCTTTTGTCGGGGCTCGAAGGGGCCTCCTGAGGTTCTCGTGGGGCCTCTTGAGCCCTCTTTGGGTGTCTCAAGGGCCTCTTGGCCTTCAAAGACTGTCTTCGGCCCTCCCTGGTCAATCGTGGGTCCTTCGTGGTGCGCTTTCGGGCCGTCTTGGAGGTCTCTGGGGCAGTCTTGGGGGCCTCTTGGGCTGTCGTTGAGCCCTCTTGGGCCGTCTTGCGGGCCTCTTGGGGGCTTGTTGGGGGCATCTTGGGCCGTCTTGAGGCGATCTTGGGGGCAGCCGGTCCGCGTTGGAGCGTCAGAAGCCCTAAACGGCGAGAGCGTTAAAATCATTGATGGAGGTCCGATTGAAGCCCTTTCGGGGCGTCTGGGGGGCCTCTTAGGCCGTCCACAAGACTTCTTGGGCCGCCTTCATGGCTTCTTGGGCGGACGTGAGGCATCTCGGACCCTCTAAGCCTTCCTTCTTGGAGGCTCCAGGGCGAACTTCGAGACCATCTTGGACCATCTCGGTGGAGGCAATCCAGGGGCTGGCTGTTTTGGACGGGAAAAACAAATTGTCGGGGTGGCTAGCGGCTTGGGCAGAATTCCATTATGAGTTCGTTAGAAGAGAGACGAACCCCCTCAGAAGTTCAGCGCGCCAGGCACCCCTCCGATGAGTCAACGTGGGCGGCGGATCGAAAACGCCTACGGCGAATCACCGCCCCCCTGCCTTTTTGGAACCGCCTATGTGGCCGAAGGTTGTGGCCAGAGGCCTGCCAAGCTATCGGACCACGTGTTCCCCGAATCGGTTTGGAAAGCCTTCGGGGAACACGTGGGCATCTTGAAGGTCATCTTGGCCGTCTGGAGGCCATTCTGACCCTTTCGGGCCTTCTTGGATGACGTCTTGGAGGGCTCTTGGGCCGTCTTGGATGCTATCTTGAGTGTCTTGGAGACCTCTTGGGCCGTCTTGGGGGCCTCTTGGGGCCGTGTCTTGGGCCTCTTGGGCGGTCTTTGTGGGCATTTGGGCCATCTCGGGTCGTCGGAAGGCAGAAAAAAAAGCAAATGCCACAATCCTTCAAGAACCCATGGCAAATCAATGATTGTGGCCTTTTCGGGCCTTCCTGGAGGCCCTCTTGGATGCCTCTTGGGCCGTCTTGGGCCATCTTAGGGCCATGTTCGGCCGTCTTGGTGGGCTCCTGGTCCGTCTGACGCCGTCGGAAGCCGTTTGGGGGGCCTCTATGGGCCGACTTGGGTCCCTCTTGGAATGCTGCAGGGCTGTTTTGGATGCCATCTTGGGCGTCTTAAATGCCTCCTGTGCCGTCTTGGGGGCCGTCTTGGGGCCCTCTTGGGCCGTTCTGGGGCCATCTTGGAGGCCTCTTGGGTGATCTTTCGGCGATCTGTGGGGGCTCTTGGGCCGTCTCGGGCCGTCGGAAGGCCGAAACGAAGCACATGTCAAAATCCGTCAAAAACCTCAGGGAACTCAATGTTTTTGGCCTCTTCTGGCCTTCCTGGAAGCCCTCTTGGGGGCCTCTTGGGCCGTCTTGGGCCAGCTTCGAGCCAACTTCGGCCATCCTGGTGGGTTCCTGGCACGTCTGACGCCGTCGGGAGCCGTCTTGGGGGCCTTTCTGGGCCAACGGGGGACCCTCTTGG